AAGTATTTGTCTCTCACATCCTATGACTTGCACTATATAAATGAAAAATGTCAGCTATGGTACTTTTTTGACCAATTATTGTGCCCCGTGTAAAATGTTACTGGGGGTTGGGGGTTGGGGGGTTGGGGGGGTAGATAGAGAATACAAGCACGTAGCAGCTGGTGGAAGCGCTTCCCACACTTCTTTTTCCAAACATCTCTTTATGTTTAAAAAATCTTCATTGAAAGACCACCGATAGCTTCCTCCCTCTTTTTGTTACAGTAAAGCCAATCAAGGGTCAAGTCGTCTTGTATGAATAGCATTTGGTACTGAAGGAAGTGGGAATTACATCCCCTTCCTCCAAGTAAATAGGAGTTTCGTTTTCTTTCTCTGGCTTGCCCCCCCCCCCCCCTTTCAAACACGATGGCACGTCACTATTATATTTAATACTATTGACATGTATGTATGTGAAGACATTCCTTTTTTATTTTAACAAGAGGAGGTACTTGTTAAATAATATTGCAAGGATAAATAATCTATAAAATACATGTTATAACTGTAAAAAATACATTTGTTGAACAATCAATTCAGCTTTGAGGTCTTGTATTAAATTATCTGCTATTCTTTATTGGATATTGTTTGTTAATCAGTTGTTTGTCCTGTTTAGACCAAAAATACAGGGAATATACTGTTTTCCTCGCCATATTTATATAAACACTAAACAACACGAGATGTTTTATTTAGATCACCAGAGTTCAATCAGTGAGCATGCGCATATTTAACACTAGTGCGACACGGGTTGTCTTAATCGAATACACTCTAGGTGACCTTGAAAGTCTGTTTACGCGGAAAGAATTTCACTTGTGATTTGAAACAATCTTATGGTCAGTTCCGAGTTCACACCTGTTTAAAAAATATATTGGGTCTCTGCCGGTGGGCCAGGGGCGCCGTATGTTTATCACACCTTTCAAATTCTTCAGCTCTGACCACGGCAAGTGTATAACACACTCAACTGATATCAGGCGAAATTCATCTTCCAGGTTTCACTACAACAACGATTATAAACTTACATGTACTTTGTTAATTTATTTAATATCCTATTTCAGACACAAATAAGCATGTATCTCGTAGATTAAGATAAAAAAAGCATACTGAACATAAATTTGCAGACTTCTGATAAAGTTTTAACCAGCCGATTCGTATCGCTTTCTAGAAGGGGGGGGGGGGGTTAAAAAATCGCTAAATATCTATATGTTTTCTCAAACTGTTTTTTTTTTGTTTCATTTTTCACACGATATATTTCAGAATGAAGTAATATTCATGTCGAAGTTTGTACATTTCATTTGCCAAAAATTCGGCTGGTGATTTTTGTATTCAGCGTGTAAGTTGATCACTATTTTAAATTAAAAAATTTATCAGATTATCATCTCTGCCTATTCAGTAGATTTTCGAGTTTACCGCATTTAATATTTATCTCCATATTTTACATAATTACAGATTAATTCAGCGTTAATCACGGCAATAATCCTTATTGAATCTGTCCAATGATTCGCCGAGTATCGGTACCGGTATCAAAGAGCAGAATTAATGTACGAGTCTGATTCTTTTTTTTTAATTATTCTAGACATAGTACATATATAATTATATTTATTTTTTAAATTCTTACAAAATATTAATTCACTTAGTATAATCACGCATCTGATATGTACTACTTATGAGTGCATACGTACTTAGGAAAAACGATCTTGTATCAACAATTTAATTGAACACGGTTAAAATCAAAATCGAAAGTAGAGACAATCAAGTAATTCATTTATGAAAGTGTGTTTCCTCTTAGTGTAATATAATAATAATAATAGTCTATTAAACTTTTTATAACTAATATAATTAGGATATAACTTGAAACGAAATTGTACATTTTTTTTTTTTGCTGGACATGAGTACGTTGTTATTAAATTTAGGACATCTTATAAGTTTAAACATCTGTATGCGATAAATTACCAAAATTAATTTATGGAAAAGTACAACAAATATTTCAAAAGAAAGTTGATTTAATTTTATTAAATTAGGGCAATGAAAATGTTTAAAATATTTATCATCAAAACTGTGACACACCGTGTTACACGGTGCACAGAAACGCTGACTTCAAAGACGCCGACAAGGTTCGAGGTCCACGCTAAAGCGTGGACTTGCGGTCCACGGGGCCCCGTGTTTTTTGCGGAAAACTCGTGGCCTGTACTGTATGTTAGCTTACAAGATAATTATAACGAACATAAAATAAACGATATGTAAAAATCCCTGTCACATCAACTCCTCAATCTTTAATTATTTGCTAGTAGCAAATAATTATAGGTTGATGAGCTGATGTACATTTTCTATCAACATTATGATTGTGTTTTATCGATTCTAAAACTGCGTATTGTGTTTTAAGCAGGAAATATGATCACATCAAAGGTCATGATCAGCCTTTAAGAAACATACTTTCTTGAATGAAAATTTTTAAATAGATAACACCTGAAAACTTAATTGACCTTAAACTTTATTCTCATAATTGACAAAACAGTGAAGAGAAGATCTGCACAGTATAATAGACAAAAATATAACATACATGAAGAGGGGATAATTTTTTTTACAGGGTATATCAACCGAGAGACTTAAATAGAATTTCACATAAAGCGTGCATATATCCTCGTTGAACTTTGAAATCATACATGTCATATTCACTTCGATATCGTCTATCACCTCTGAATGTAACTCTGCGAGGATAGAACAGGTCTTTGAAAAACTTAATGGTATAAAGATATAGTTAAGGGAATTTGCCAATAATTTTAATTTCGCCATTTCAAGAAATGAATTGAAAGTATCGAGATAATACTTTTCAGTATTAGCACTGAAAAAAGGTCCAAAAGTGATTTTTTTTTCTTATTATAAGTATTTATTAATAATGATGCAAACTTTTAATTAAAACTTTTAATTAAAGCGAATAAAACTTTACAAAAAACGCGGAAGAATAAGCCAAATTAATTTGTACATGTATGTTAAGTAAGTACTCTGTTAAATATTCCTGCTGTACATGCTATAGACCGCTAATTGATACAACACGTATCTCTATTCATGCATAGGTAGGTCAAGTGACGTCAATTTAAATGATATCAATACGCAGTGAATTATTATAGATAAAACAATAATCAACATAACTCATTCTTCAGTACTGAGTTCAGATGTGTGACTAAAGGGTTATTTTTTAAAAATAATCAATTTCATAATTTATGTACATTAATTGAGTCAGTACCCTTCCTGCTTCTGAAAAAAATTGATGGGAAGATAATCTGAAGTCTTAAAGAGGAGTTAGGTGTCCAAATGTACAAGCATGTCTGAAATTTTAACGTAACTTGGTGTCCACAGTGACTGTTTTTTAAATCAATAAGCTATTCTTTCTGGTGAATCCTTTTTGAAGTATATAAACACTAGTTTGCATGTTTTATTGCATGACTTATTTCTGCCTTATTCTATCATAATTAGAAAATATATCCAAGATTACTAATGGACACCGTTACTTACATAAGCACTAAACAAGTAACATGTTACTAGAATTTAACAAGTTGTTAAAATATGAAAATAATGCAATCAATAAGGTATGATGAAATCATGTTTAATGTTATATTAAATGGAATTTATTTAAAAAGTCACAATTTTTATTTCTAGTTTCAAAAAAGGAGAAATTATGTAAGTAACATGGACACCTAACTCCGAATCAGGCTTTAAAAAGGAACATAAAAAATAACAAGACAATCGAACACTTTCTTTAATACTTTTAATATTTCATTTCAAAGTTTAATAATAGACTAGCTTTCAAAGAGAATTAAAGCAGACAAGTAAATTGTCAGATGGATTGCTAAATATTCTATGTCTTCTAATTTGAGTCTTGTGGATTTTGTGTCATTGTTACGAACATAATTCAGTCAAAAAATGTATATAAAACAAAATACAACATGATGTAATCAACACATATGCTGTTTAATAATATTTATCATATATCCTTGATAAAACCAGAAAGAAGGCAATTAAAGTACAAATTATGTCACCACTTCAAGTTTTCGTGTCTCTGTTACGAACGTAATTGCGTAAATGATATGGCAATATTAAAAAAAATATTCAATAAGTATTCATCCTTTGATAAGAGCAGAACAAAACTAACGAATATAGAATAAAATATAGTACAATAAAACTTTATCACTAATAGATTATACAAATAATGCAAAAACACTGATGTTCGTAACAAAAGACGCGAATCAAAAGTCAAATGTTGACTCGGACAGATTTATGGAATGGATAAGCAACATATTTCAGTTTCTGATTAATAGTGGTATTACAATGACTGTATATGTGTTAAACATTCACTAAAATTGATACAATATGAAAATACTTACCGAATCTATTATTGTAACTTCTTTTTTTCCACATGGACAAACGAGCATCGCCATGTTTTTTAGCAGAAGCTGCGCAACCTTTTACTTTTTTCTGCTACGGACAAACTTATTTCATTGGTTTTTATTTTAGCAATCATACTGAAAGCTATTATGTTTAACGGTCAAGACACCAAACATTTTATTTGATTACAAAAAGAACTGAGTTATGTTATGAGCATATTGTTAAAAATAATTTATCACACATACTCATTAATTAAACACAGAAATTGAACTTGATAAATTATTTAATGTTTGTAGAGAGGTGTTAAAAAGTTCAATGCATAGAAGGCAGAAAAAAATAATTAGGATAATTGTATTGACAAAATAAATATATTATTTCATTTATATGAAGATAAGAACATTATAGGATTTTATTTTTAAATAAAACAAACACAGTCACATTTTCTGTGCGAAATCCCCTAAGTGCAATTGTCTTAAAACCTTCAACACTATCGTATATAAATAAGCAAATTTTGTACAGAGTGTTAATATGACAGTTTTGCGCTTTTATTTGTTTTCTATAAAGAAGACTTTTTTTTTTAAGTTGAAGAAGCTAGGCTTGCATTTAGGATAAAAGAAGAGAAATTAAAGAAAACACAGCTGTGCGATATTGTCCTAAAACCTTTAAACTTCGTAAATAAATAAGCAATTTTTGTACACAGTGTTAATATGACAGTTTTGCGCTTTTATTTGTTTTCTATAGACTTTTAAAACGATAATAGAAGGAGTCGCCAATCTTCAAGATGGCCGACAATAATATTGAAATCTCTGAGTTAGAAGAGGATCAAATTATTATGCGAAATGAGTGGAGACGAGTTTCAAGTTTTGCTACTTTTCCTTATAACATTTCAGTGAGTACCATTCGCCTTGCTCAGTCGGGATTTTATTACACAGGTAGAGGGGGTCTTTGTCGTTGTAATTTCTGCGGCTATGAACAGAGTGAGTGGACACAAGAATCTTTACCATTTCATTGTGATGAAAGTTTTAGAAGTGAAACGGATGAACCAATTAACCATGAAATCGATGGACATTTTTCTCCTGATAACAATTTATCAACACAATTAAATCAATCCTCTTCATCAAATACAGAATGTGGTTTTTATTTAGCAAGTACACATTCTTTTATTCGTCTATGGGAAGGAATTGGTGCATCTTATCAAGAACCATCTTTGGATAGCAATCCATCTCAGAACCATCCTGATGTCTTCCAAATGCTCAGAATTGAAACCTCAGATTGTCCTGATTTTAATGTCGGTCAACAGCCTCATCTCAGAGAGAGTAACTCTAATATTTACCGACAATTAAGAATTTGTGAAGAGACAAATTCTCGGTTTTTATCGTCAGAAAATAGCAATGTGACCTCAAACCAATCCACAAGGGAAATGATAGAGAGCGAATTTTCCATAACTGAAGGGAATGGTATATCTTCTCAAAGGGAAGAAAATAACCAGCTATCACAGAAGCAAACAAGTCGGGTTTTGCATCCATCAATTAAATATTTTTGTAATCAGAAAAAAAATGACTCTGTCAATAATTCCAACAGTTCTAAATCTACACAAGAGTCAAATCCTATTGAAAGGAGATCTGAGGAGTGTGCGAATAGACATCGTCAACATCAGCTACATCGAAGAAGTCTACCCGCAATCGATATAAGTGATTTTAATCAAGGACAAAGTCTTGATATATCTGGTTCCCTTGGTTCTTTAAATTCAGATCGTCACATGAGGCAGTCTTGCAATCTGTCAGACTTTGGAATTCTTAAAAGACCAAACCAAGATATTCTAGGACAAGAATGCCCTCCAATGAGCAGATCCGTGAGGAATACACAAGAAATACCACAAACATACACAGAAAGGTTGGCAACATTTCACAACTGGCCACCCTACTTAAGACAGCGCCCAAGGGATTTGGCGGACGCTGGATTTTATTACACAGGATGCATTGATTGTGTACGTTGTCCATATTGTAACACGTTCTTCTCAGAATGGGAATCAAATGATATACCATTAGAGGAACACGCTCGGCATTCTCCAGATTGCAAATTTATCCAGCAATGTCGTCAAAGACAACAGGACCAGGTAGAACAACGAAAAGAGTAAAAAAAAATATCATACCTTTTCCAAAATACATGGATATGCATAATATTAATCTTTCTGACATTATTGTATTCTGCTATAATTATTCGACGCTTCTGTAGTTTTTTAAACTTAATTCAGTTGTCATTATTTGTTTGTAAATTTCAGGATTTAGAAAATCAACAGACAACAAGGGAAACCGTTACACTGGATCATATAAAACATCTGGATTCTCTAAAAGAAGCGCTCGATTTCTCTTTTAATATTGACGACATCCTTCGAGCATACAACACGTTATCCCAAACACTTGGTATGATATTTTCCCAGCACTATTTTCAGATTTAAAGTATTAACTACTAATTTTTGGTTACAAACTTATCTATGTCCGCTACGAGTTTGCACATATTTTTGCTGATATCACATGAGACCTTTTAAATCTTTTTTGCAGACATTCGGGATGTGACGTCAACAGACATACTGAGATTCTTCTTTGAGGCTGACCAGGAGGAGGAGGAAGCCTTCAGTGGAGGTGTGTTATGTCAAAGTTTTATTTTTGTTGTTGAGGCTTTAATTGCGAAGATTTTCATTTTAAAACAGAATTCTGATTTATAAAATTTCACTACTACCTGGGGAGAAAAACATGATTAAGCGACCCCCTTTCATTTTAAGCGTACTATTTAAAATTGCTTAATTGCTTTGGATTCATTAACTCATCGTTGATGAAAACAAAATTTAAAAAACAACTTTCTAAATTTTAATTGTATTGTAATTTTATGATAAATACATATTACAGACAGCTGTGTGTGCTGCATGTGTTGTGATCGTGTAGTGTGTGTAATGTTCCTACCATGTCGTCATGGATGTTGTGATGAATGTGAACATGAAACAGAGCAGTGTCCCTACTGTTCTCAGTACATCAAGGCAGTGCACCGTGTGTATGTCGGGTAGAAAAGTAACTCTATTCATAAAAGTATTGGAAAATGTAATGGAAATATTTATCTTTCCAGAAAAAGCATCATTCCATATGTTTACAAAAGTTTTATATCATATCATTAACAATATTTATATATAGGCAGTAAATCATTTATTTTTAGCATTGAGAAACAGATTTGAAGACGTTAAACTACAGTTAATGTAATTATTTTCAGTTGAATTCTTTGGTACTGTTCTGATTTTTTTTAATGTGTAAAAGTTGAAGGAAAAAGGGCGATAACTCAAATTGAAATCTTATTCATATATCATTTAATACTATACATGTAGCTAAAATTTCACTGTTATGTTCATGGCACATGTGATACTTTGGTGCCGTAGCAATTAAAAAAAATTATATGTTTTATATAAAATAGATAAGTTATTTGTACAAAATTAAGCATAAATTAAGTATGCTTATTGTAAATGTGAAAATAGGAAATGTTTGATTCAGGTTTATATCTTTGCATTTTGTATATAGAGGAAGTAAATAATATATTATTGTTATTGAGGCAGTACTGTGTTTAATAGTGTGCATTTTGCCCCTAGTGGTTTAATTTAGTTATAGCACATTTGTAATGGCAGATGATTTTTTTATTTACATGTTATTAACTTACCAAAAAGATCCAACGAAAAACTCATTCTTATGCATTTTTCGGTATTGGATTTACATTTTCTGAAACGAAATCAATTTATAGAGTTCGACTTTCAGTGAACATGAAGGAATATTTTTGCAATTCTGTTGATTTATATATGAAGCTTATCCTGTATGATTAATATGTTTCAAATGAAATAAATTTTCTACATAAATATGTAGGTTTTTTTTTTTATTTTAATTTGATTTTAAGAGGGTAATGTAAGCTGTTTTTCTTTTATGATGAATGTAATAATATAAAAGACACCGGACATAATTTCATGTGTCAAGGGTCCGGTAATGACAACCACAATACCTAAAGGCAAATGCAATAATAATAATTAATATTTTTTAACTATATATTCCAAATTACAAAATCATCTGCTTTTTAAGATTATTTGTATGCATTTGCATAACCTACTGAGACGTCGATCACTGTAGAAAAATATACAATGTATCTTTCTGTTTTTGTATTCTGGAGATCTATCACTTAAATATAATATCTCTTTTACATAACAAGTTCTCGAAGTAGTCTTTCTTCTACAGTAGGAGAAGTTTTGAAATAGGTTTTCTTTTACACAATTGAATAATTCACTGTTTCTTTCTATACAGAACTTCGTTTTCGATGCCTTCAAATATCAGTGGATTGTCTAGGTGTTTCATTCTATTATGAAAAGAAATAAATTTATGAAGTTTGGAATTACGTACTGAGTATTTAAAAAAAATGAAAATCTTTTTCAACAACTGATTTAAGCTGGAACAAAATCATTTTACTGCAGTTGCACCAGTGTGGTGATATATGAACGCTCCTATGTCATGTATATGTTCTGTTTGAAGGTATGTTAGTACACGGACTTAACCCTTCTCTTAGGTCCTAAGAGAAGGGTAAAAGTCTGTTGTATTCTTTCAGATTAACACAAACAGTCTTACATTAGGATTGTCTGTATTAATTTGAAAGAATACAGGTCGGCGAGATTCATGTGTTTTAGATAAAATCATGTTTCTCCTTTATTCGGCGTGTTTTTGAGTCATAAATTCATTAATTTGAAACACGTGTTAATCCTGTTTTCCTATATAGTGTTTTTCATGGGTTATCAGAGAGATAACGAGAGCAAAATATAGGAAATGGCTCATTCTAAAGAAAAACATTTACTCAGGTATATCTGTCTCTAGTTTATGAAAAAAGTTGAAGATAACATTAGGTGATAGATCTCAAAACAAGCTGTAAACGATACAAACCTTAAAACCTTTGAAGAAGGCATAAACATGGACCTCTGTAATTATCAGAGGGTATCAGGTGCCTAGCTAGGAGAAATAAGTACATCTCATGTTAGCGGTCTCACACGCGTGAGTCCCATGTATTGATCAGGAAAACCGGAATATTCCGCAGTCAAATTCATTAAATTGAACCAAAGGCTTATGAATGAAACTAGTCAGCCAAAATCCGATTTAATGACTGGTTATATTTGCAGAAAAAAATCTTTATATAAACGATTAAGAAATTTGATTTTTATAAAATGCTGATTTTAAACGAGATAGTTAAATTTCTTTCAACATCATTTCATGTGCCAGAAGCCTGCCTCCCTTCAAAATTTTATCGTACTCAAAACAGTCTCTTGAATAAATTCAAATTTACAAAATTTTTAAGAGTGATTTTGGATGAGAAAAATATAAGTTTTTTACCTAGTAAACTCCAAAAAACACTAATAAAATTTAGAACTTCAAACCACCACCTTCCAATTGAAACTTGTAGATGGTCAAATATTCCATTGGATGAAAGAGTTTGTAAAATGTACATGTGTAATACAGGGCAAATAGCAGACAAATCTCATTTCATTTTAGAATGTAAAACATTGAGCAGCATCAGAAAGACTCGCCAAATACACTTAAGTTTTCTGAAATTATGTCAACGACAAATTTAAAATCTTTAATATCTAAAATAAACGACACCGTCTGTCCTCCGTAATTTAAATGTTATCATACCATTTTTCTTTTCTTTTTTTTCTTTCATTGTATGTTTATTGCTATACTTTGTACAAATGTAAATGCCTCTCATTTATGCTATTGTATCATAATTATATTTATTATTTTTCTCACAATTATGACGACTTATTTATATACTGTACCTCATGTACCTTTGATGTTGGTGTGAGTCAAATAAATGAACTGGAACTTGAATATCGAAGAAGATGGGAGATGTAAACTCCATATGCAAGTGATAGTGGTATATTGCTACATAAATATGGAACTTGTTCACTTCTTCACTCTTAACAAAGTAAAATTACGACCATCAGTTTTGATATTGGATTTCAAATTCTTTTACGTAGTTATACCTTCAAGTGTTTCTCAGTTCTATGTTGTTATGAGGAAGCGGAAATAACGAAATTTTATTGACGACGGATTTTTCCATTATTTCCTGATCATGACAAGAAGCACACGGCGGGTGTGACCGGTCGGCATGGAATGCTCACTACTCTGTGGCACCTGATTCCACATCAAGCTGATATTTTGGAGGTCCGTGTTTGCTCTGCTCCTGTTTTGTATTGTTTTATGGACTCTCGATCTTGAACACCTTTCGTTATCTCCATATGTTTCATCAAACATGGAAAAAATTTCAATCAATCTCTATGGAATCTCTTAAGATTTTGCATTTCTTGTAATAAGCTAATTCATTTTAATTTCCTCTTTCTGTTTGAGATGCTGTTTGATACACTGTAAGATAAGATAACACTGTATATTCTGTCGGAAATATTCAACAACGCCCAATTGATGAAATTATTCCATGTGATATAAAAGTGCATGACACGTTATTCATACAAATTCCTTTTCTTTGCTTTAGAAGCTGAGATCAATAGAATCTTTGTTTGAGATTATTCAAGAGAGTTTATCCACAATAAAAGGCAGCATTTAATCACAGTGTCTATATAATTTACAAATATGTGTCCAGTGCTTGTAGGAGTCCACAGAAAATGTGAGACAAAAAGAAACAAATTTAAAGTAAATACTGACTATAAACAATAAGGGCCAACTAACACCTATTTGTATCACAAATGAGAAGACTTTAGCATTTTATTATCAACTTTCCTTATTACGAAAACTATCACGCTATCATCTGAAAATAGTGCTGTCGCCTCCCATCTCATTCGATATTCAAGAGCTAATCCAACATGTCCAAGAACATTCACTTTTTTAACAGAACAGGCTTAAGACAGTTAAGCTGATTTACAGAAATTTCAATAACCTCGTTTTAAGTCAGCAATAAATTCTATATTGTCCTTGTAATGATAATTTTTCTACTAAAGCGTTTCAAACTTATTATTTAGTCTTTGATTTAATACAAAATATTAAATTTTGTACAATAAGGTGTCAGAGAAATGTTTTCTTAAAATATTAAAATTTTCTCATTGAAAATTCCCATTGAAAGAAAAAAGCGAAAAATTACTCTTTTTATGGGTGATAACAACATTGTTCGTGTATCCTGTTTATAGATCCTCAATTTAAATGGAACGCCATATTAACATAAATTCAAATATTTGTACCTATCCTCAAATCAATTGTACCTATTTTTAATTCAATTGTACCTCATTTGTACCTATCGATTATACCTACTACTATTTCTAATTATAATTCAATTAGACCTATTTTTAATTCAAATATATATCTATCTTTAATTAATTTGAAGATAGCACAATTGATTTGAAGATAGGTACAAATGCCATGAATTAAAGATAGCTGCAATTGAATTAAAGATAACTGCAATTTAATTGAGCCTATCTTTGATTATCAAAATTCTGACAATAACAACTACTCCCATTAAAAATACTTTGTACAGATCGTTCCGTTCTCAAGTTGCTGTCAGAAAAAGAATTGTACCTAGGTGCAGTGGAATTATACATATCTTGAATTCTTTTGTGGATATGTTTTAATTGTACATATCTTCAAATCAATGATACATATCTTTAATTCAATTGTAACTATCTTTAATTCAGTCTGAAAATTAATTGTACAAATCTTCAAAAGAATGGAAGTTAGGTATAATTCATTAAACCTTTCTTCAATTGAATTGAAGATAGGTATAATTCTATTGAATAAAGGTGTAATTTATTGAACCTAGGTCTAATCATTTACATCTATCTTTAATTCATTTAGACCGATCTTTAATTCATTTGAAGATAGGTTTAATTATTTAAAGATAGGTACAATTATTTGAAGATATGACAAATATTTGAATATATGTTAATTTGGCGTTTCCATACATTTAAACCTCGTGGGGGGTCTGAACTTTTAACACGTGGTTTTTATTATTGAATAATAAAAAGTAATTGTCACACCAAAAAAGCTTATAGAATCGACTGAATATCATGTTTTTATAAACTATTATCCGTTACCTTTAAAAAAATATTTTATTTTAATTTCTTTAAAGGTCACAGGTTGTTTACCAACAATCTGACGTAATAAATATGTCGGATATGTTGAAAAGATATGTAGTAACTGTCTATGCTACAGACATCGGGCTTCTCAACAGAAGGTAATGTATATAACAATGTTTTGTTTTTCCATATTTCTCCGTATTTCGTGTAACAATGTTTGGTTTCTGTTTAAATATTATAAAAGTATAAACAATCTTTTGTAAATGTTATCATTCTTGTGCCTCGTGGTTATTTCCGGATATGTCATTTGACTTGTGTTATTTTGTGTTTTATTAATGATATGAGGCATTGCAATCTTGAATTGCAAGGTGTTAGTGACAGTCTATTATTTTGTTACGATGAATAAAACATCTCAATAGTTCAGAAGGTTCATAAAACATTCTGTCAACATTCTGTGATTATGGCAGTGTGCTTGCCTTAAGTCAAGAGTAGGTCACTGAGTATATTAACACATTCTGTACTACTTTAAAAAATACACATTAATGTTTGCATGAAGATTTCAAAATGTTTTATATCAATGATGTCTGTTTTAAGTACTATTGTAACCGTGGTTATATTTCATTACTTGATATATAGATAATGAGTAGGCCTTTTTTAAGTTGTTGTTTTTCAGTATCAACATTTCATATTTTCATCATGTACAGCTTTCAACTGAACATGTCAACCAAAGCATATACTTCTGTAATTATACAGGAGATAAATAATCGTTTAAAAGAAGCACTCATCTTAGCTCCTCCTCAATGAAAAAGAATTAAAAAATAATGAAAAAGGTATATAACAATATGTATTACTATTCTAGTTTGTGTAAGTCCCATCATGTCATGTGTATACATACCTATATGTACTCTTTTTATATAATGCACATAGAAATACATAGAAATATAAACGACTGCTTTCCATGAATAGATTCCTTATGATTATTAACTTAAAGCCCCTTTTAGTGGATTTGAGCAAGAAGACAACCCTTATTTGTGTAAAAAAGATCCTCATTTCATAAAATTATATAAAGGGGAGATAATGTTTTTTCATGAAAGGTACACAGATGCTAGAAGTTAAGCAGCAAAATTAGTTTAAGTTGTTTTTTTAATTTAGGTAGACATAGTACATTGGCTGGGAGAAAGATTTACTTAAGATTTGTGAAGTAAAAATGGAGGAATCCAACAGTTACAGATCTAGTGACATGAGATATGAGAGGAATAGATTATCAACATTTAAAGATTTCCCATGTTCTCAGTCGGTCAGTACCCTCCGCTTAGCACAGTCTGGGTTTTACTTTACTGGACGTGGTACTACTTGTCAATGTCATTTCTGTGATTTTGTACATTGTAACTGGACTAATGGACTTATACCCTCCCACTGTGAGCAGAGAAGCTCAAACATCCCCATTTGTATACCTACACCACTAACAGTATCTTTAGAGATAGATAATGTATTGCAATCACTTCAGACATCTTCTACAGTGTTCAGATTTGAAGAAAATAGAAGTAGGGTGTATGAATTTTTAAGACTGCCACCAGTTAGTGAAAATGACTCCCAATTTCAAATATCATCGACCACAGAGAATATCCTCCCACATCAAGAGACTCCTGGTTCTATACCACATAGTGCAGGAGACACTGCTTCTGTAGACAGTAAAAAAGATTTTGAATTCTGCACGTCCACGTCCTCTGGGCAGAAATGCTCTCGTTATTTGTCACCTAGAAGCAGTAGTTGTCGACCTGTTAGAAGAAGTGTCCAGTCCCCCAGTGATAGCTCTAGTGGAACAGAAAGTGCAGAATCAATGTGTCCCTCAGGATCAAGACACTCTTCTTCAGAGAGAGAAAGAAATTTCTCCCTTCCAGGTGCACATCTTCAAATAAGCAGAGCTGTGAGGAACTCATCAGGAATTCCGCAGACCTACAGAGAACGATTCTCTACTTTCCGCAACTGGCCTGTCCAATTACATCAAACACCTGAGAGAATGGCATTGGCTGGTATGTTCTATTTAGGTTACAGCGATGCTGTCCAGTGTTCATTCTGTGGTGGACAATTAAGAAACTGGCAAGTGACAGAAGACCCTAGGTCTAAACATGCACAGGAGTTCCCAAACTGTAGATTGGTCAGGCAGCATCATTCAGAGGTATGCAATATACAAAACAAGCTAAAATAATATTATTCACAACTGAACAATTTGTTTTGAATCCTGTGGAGTTTTTAATTCCTGAAATTTAAAAGAATTCAAAATGAAACCAAATTAAGCATAACTTGATATTTTGGGTTTTTTCTGCCAGCCACCTAACCCTGAAGGAGAGGGAATACAAGGAAATGGCATATTGTCTGATGAGCAAATAGCTAGTCTACCAGCCGCAAGGGAAACTCGAGACCTCTCATTCGATCAACAAGACATTGTACATGCATGTAGAGAGCTTAGTAACACCCTTGGTAAGTAAGAAAAAAATCAATATTTTAATTAGATAAATGCAACTGAAAAAATATCGAATTGTCATTACTGTAATTTTTATGCTTTGTTTATAGATTTACGAGATATCACAACAGTCAACATTTTGAAGTACTTCTACGAGGAAAGTGATACTCAGGAAGAAAGATTCTCTGCTGATGGTAAGAAGTTGGTGATCACGTAATGATTGTCTTTCCTTGTTCCTGAAGACCTGTATTGTTAGCTTCAATCATTGTGTACTATTTTCTTTCCAGACCGTTGCCTGTGTTGTGTTTGTTTTGTCCAAGATGTAAAGGTATTGTTCCTGCCTTGTCGTCATGGATGTTGTAACGACTGCAGATGTTCACGCCAACTTGATTATTGTCCTCGCTGTGATAGTTTAATTAAATCGAAACTTAAGGTTTATATTTAATTTAAAAAGTAGTTTGTATTCAAATTTATAAAGTTAATTAACATACTTACGTAAACCATGTTCCTCTTCTAACAGTCAAATATTGAATTATATTTCATTGAGGTTTAGGGATTAACGTTGGAAATGCAGCTCCTTCAGACTAAAGTTTCTGCCTCATCCTTAGATTATCCCCCATTTTGTTGTTCGGTGTATTCTGAATAAATTCATAGAGTACATTAGCAAGTATACACTATTTAGGAAACGCGGTTGGCTCCAATGCTGGACACAATGTGGGGAATGTGTTTGACTATAATACTGGTCATTTGTGTACATGTCTTTTCTAGACAAAGGGTTATTTTTGTTAAAAGACCCATTTTTAATGCATGTGTGTGTGTTTGATATGTGTAGTTGTGTGTGTTGAAAGTTATATTGTTATTTGTAAGTAAATGAGTATGTACATATATCACTATGGTTTAATTTTGTAATATTAATCCCATGATTTTATTGTTCATATTATATTTTTATCTAGGTACAGTAGTACATGTATGACTATAACTAAAGTTTACTTAAGTTACTATGTTTGAGTATTTGTTAATGCTATCAAACAAATTACTGGTATTAATGAATTTCAAATATTGAAGTAACTCTCTATATATAATATCTTTACAAAATCATGGTACATAGTCTTCATTGGAATACTCAACAAGAATGGACTATTTCAATAAACGTACTTAATTATGTCTTACTTGATTTCAATATTCTTTTCAGCATCAAATAAATAGTTCTCAATGATTCAGTGATTGTTTTAAATCAAAGCAAGTTTTTGTTATTTAATTACAAATGACAAAAATGAAAGTTTTGATTTTTCAGCATATCTAATGTCAAAGTAAATAAAAATTAAGGAATTCTATTTTAAATCATTGTGAATATAATTTTGTGTGTAGTTCTTAGTGAAAAGAGCGATAACTCAATCATTTTCAATGGTATGAGATATCAGACTATATGTTTCATTATAAAAGTTACATTTGAATGTTTTTTAACATGTATAGCGCATGTAAAAATAGACTTAATGCTATAACAATAACTAAAAAAGAAAAACTAAAAAAAGAAAAAGAGGAATTTATGTTCAGTATGACTAACAACTTAGTCTTTGTACAGTAGTAATTAATTGAACAAAATTTTGCAATGATTAAACATGCTTATTGTTATAGTGTCCATTTCAACATTTTTTTTTTTTTATTTTTTTTAAAAGTTTTCTTTTTTCAATAATCCTAAAAAATTATCGTATGAATATTTCATGTATTTTTGATATTTAATTTATATTTTATGTAACAAATCAATTATTACGTTTTATTTCTAATGGACATGAAAGATCATTTTAGCAATTGTGTAGATAAAAAAAAATAGCACATGATAAATATATGCCACACGTTCTGCATGATTATTTTGTTCTGAATGAAATAAATTATTCGATAAAAATTTGTTTCAATTTTGATTGTACACAAAGTTACTCTGAAGTTGATAAAAAAGATGCTTAGGTATCTGATTGACAACATATATTAGAAGAAAACTTTAAAGAATATCTAAGATATTATCCTCCTTTGAGTTTATGTTCTTCTCTACCCTTACATGTAAGCTAAAGTCCTGCTGGAAACTTTTTTACTTGTGTAGTAAATAATGAGACATTAAATCATTGATGTTAAATCAGCTAAATTTTATGGTACTCCGATCTTTTAAATTCACAAATGTAATGGATTCTAGATCAGTTAAAAATTACGCCTGGCGATAAGCAAAATATGTAAGTGAAGACATTGACACGTTGTAAAAATTCATAAAATGCATCAGATACATGAGAAATCTCGCATAAAATGTGTAAAGGACGACATGAAAACAAAAAATCCTTCTGTGTTCAGTAATGCAGAAGTGAAAAAAGAATTAAATAGATTTCACAGTCAGTATGTACTGGTCTCCACTGACAAAGAAGATAACCACATCGGCTTTATTTGTCATGATCACTCCGCCATGACACCTGATCCCACCTCTGATGTTTTGGAAGTCTGTATTTGCTATGCTCCTATTTTGAATTCCATGTTTTCCCGGAAGATATTTATGGACTTTGATCTTTAACACTGTTCCTTAACTCCATGTTTCATTTGTAAGCCTCATTATATACATTGTACATGTATTTTTAATTAGAGGAATTAGGATCTAACTCTACCAGAGGTAAGGTTTATCAATGGCTGTCTTTATAAGGAGGTTATTCTTCAAAATCATTTGTCAGTTTTGATTTTTTATTCAATTCTTAAAAATCAGATTTAATTTGAATAACCATATCTATATTGGATACCGAAACTTCACAAATATCCTGACAAAGAAACATAGCAGGTTCCAGTAAATGTTCTACATGTACCAACCACTTCCCCACAGAGAGATACCTCCGTGAGCAATGTTGTTTTATTTTATAATCTAAATGTATTTCTAATTATGCGGATTATTTTAATTTCATAAGATATTGAAAAATCAATATTATTCTAAAGGTAGTCACTTACCTTGTGAAATTATTTGAAAATATACATTCGAAAAAGATACATACTTCGTTGACTACATTTGTCGGAAATTTTGGGTAAGCAGTAATTTTCTAATTTATATATTCAAACCTTTACATATCATATCTATATTGTATTCTCCGTGATACTTCTTTGGCAGTTTGGTGAGTTGTTTTCTTGATAAGTTAAATGGAATGTAAATTTAACCAAGTGAAAGGTCAAGTGCTTGATATGCATGTCAGTCTCGTCCTGCTGACGTTGTATTTGACATCAGTGGGCTATTGAACCATTGAAATTGACAAGAGCGGTCTCGTATTTTTCAGATCTCTATGAAAACAAATTTTATTTATATTTAATTTTACAATATTTTTTTTTTCACATATAAGTGTAAATGTAAATATAAATAGTCACTCTCTAGTTTGTTGGAAACGTAGGGCATTTTGTACATAACTGAATTTGCCTGTCATGCGAGTTATCTCATGTTTCCAACGACCGTTGATGCTTGGCATACCCATAAAATTGGACATAATTCTCTGGGGATTTTCGTGACAACGACAGCTTACAATTTTGCATTTCATAAGGACTAGACTGGTAAAAGTTTTTGAATATATGAATTGATAATATATAAGTTACTTTTATATTTCGTATTTTTAAAAGATTTAAAAGATAAGGTTTATATATTTATATTCTCCAATTTTTTTAATATCAGCTTTTTAAACAATTTTGTTTTCCTTATGACAAGAATAATACGGTTGACATTTCATACCTGAATTTGGAAGTTACATGTACATAACAAGTTATACATGTACATTCAAGTCACATCTCTCTAAAACAGTTGGATTTTTCATTTGTCGTTTCAAACCGGCGAGGTAAACCTCTTCCGATTCAATGAAGCAAAAGAAGGATAATCAAAGGTTCAACAAATAAATTCCTCTGCATGAAACAACCAACAAGATGTTTGAAATAAAATAAACAAAATCACTCTTTTATTCAATGATGTGTAGTATGCTTCTTTTATAATTAGCTTATAGTTTATCATTCACACAAACAATTATAAAAGTAATTTATTATATAGCTAATAAATAGTCTATAATAAAATACTACCAAAAATCGAGAGAATTTTAACGTTCAATATCTTGACGTTTTATTGAACGCTAACTTTGTATTACGAATATGAGTATGCCCGAAACATTCCTAATACGAGCGTTCAATATCGAACGCCCCGTTGTAAACAAAAAAAGTCGTCTGGTCAAATTCTTAGAGCTAAATTAAAGAAAGGAAGTGGCATCTAGGTAAGATATGTTTATTTTTCACACAAAAATGAAATTATTTATTAAAATATAGTACGTATTAGACCCATTAAACCCTAAATAAGCAAATCATATCGCTCGGTAGGGTCATTGGAATGATGCGATATTGAACGCTAACAGGACAGACGTTAATTTGAATAACGATTCTAAAAAATCATCAATTTGAGGGTTTTTTTTAGTTGGAATAATGATTATAAATTATGTGGGAATGCTTTAGCTTTATAATAAAGGAGTTATTGAACTTATATTGGTGAATATTAGCACTCGTTGGTTGTTCAAATGCACTCCCAACCTCGTGCATTTGAACGGCCAACTCGTGCCAATATTCACCAATAGAAGTTCAATAACCCTATATTATAAAAATAAATAAATACAACATATACTGAGTATAATATAAATGTATGTTTCAGCGTTTGTAAAATGTGATGTCCAAAACTAGCAACTGTTTTCACTTGTTAACATTTGGGGTGTTTCACACGCACTTCTAAGAACTGTAGTTTTAGTACTTCCTGTCTTTTCCTTATATACATTTTTGAACATAAGAACTGTCCTTTTATTGCAAACAAAACCAAGAAATATGAACACGCCCTGTGATGTGTTTAAGACGGATATAATGTACGTGAAATAACTTAGCGGTAAAATACCGTCCAAAATCTGCAAAAGCCAGAAGACTCCTGTTATAGGAAATAAGCGTACACATATCAAAAAATCGTTCCTTTCGGGTTTATTGTTAGAAACCGTTGGAGAACGTTTAATTGCGCGTATCGTCTGTGTAAAGAAAAAGACATTAAGGAGGCAGAGTAAACCAACCGGAACTAGAAAAGTAATTATCAAGGACATTATTCCATCTATGAAACAAATGCGCCTTCCATAACCGACATTCCCCCGACTTGAAAACACTGCGATCATATTCCCCAAAACTGTGCAAAGTGGCAGGAGAAAGATGTAAATACAATACTTTATGAACAGGTACTTGTTCATAATCAGTGGCACACTGGACTGAAACACCCGATATATATGGAAACAACAGATGTTCATACTCGTAAAAGACGAGAGCCAGAGGTAGTGAAGAAGAATACCAACGACGGTACATTTTGTGCTGTTTTTGTTATCCCCGTAACTCGCCAGAGATACAATATTTATGATAAAAATGGTAGACACAAGAACCATTATTGTTTTCCCGGGGAGGGATCTTAGTTCTCGGAAGAAGCAGTACGTGAGAAATGTGATTAACAGACAAAAACACGATAAGATAGAAAATGCCACAGAAAGCTTACTGAAAATTCTACTCAAATTGTACCCCGTTTTCAATTTAGCCAACAAGTCGTTAACACATACTCTGAGAATTCGATTCTCCGATATATCGGCATTAACAGTAGACAGGGAAATATCGTAGCTCTTTAAAAACACCACGTTTTTAGTGCTATCAAAGTCAAATTCCTCTAATTTAAATTCCACTTGTTTGCAAATTAATGTATTAGTGATATTTAAATATATGATTCCATAATGTACCATTACTCGAATATGAACATCGATCTTTCTCCGTTGCTAGTTCTGTTATGTTGCTGTTATTCTTCCCTAAAGAAAAATATTTGTTCTTCAAATCAAACAAAATAAAGGTATCATTGAAGATATATTCCATATTAGTTTCAGTAAATCGTAAAAGTAATCTTTCAGTATCTAGTCTAGGAACAGATTCATTGATGAATATTGTAGAATGAATCCATCCATGGAATTTTCCGTAGTCACTTTGAACACACTCCATCCGGAAGATAGTAAAATAAATATTTTGCGTTAGTTTTACGGTTTTCTTAATTTTGAATGGTATCAAGTCTGTCATTAAATCTTGAATATTTTCCTCTGATATCTTGTACTTAGAAATTCCTTTAAATGTTATATCCAAATAATATCGAAGATTTTTGGTAACCGAAAATAGCGGGATGCAGCTTTTTCCATGAGATAAATACTTTCCGGGAAAGCATGTTATATCCCTGCAGATTCCCAGAAAAAAATTGTGTGTTAAGCTTTTATAATATCTTTATTACATTAACTTTTCCCCATAAGAAGTAAATAAAATAAAAAAAGAAATTACTTTAAATTGACAATTAAGACAACATCGATCGTATTTATTTGAATATTGTATCAATTTTTTCGCGGAAAGAATTTGATAATGACATAACTAACATAGAAAAGGTCGTAGACTTAGTGATTTGAACAGTTCCAATACTGAAATAACTTACGTGAACTGGGTCGAAAATTTGGTCTTTTGAACAGATTCGATTAAGCAGCGGATCGAATTCCATTTCCTCATAATCATCAGTGACGGAAAACAAACTGCGCAGCATAGGATACCAAACAAGGGAATTTGATACCAACTTCTCTTCTTCTTCTTCAATTCTACCCGTTTCCCCACGTATCCCAGATAACCCGATGCCATTGCATACTGCACAATAAAGATTCTTGTAGGGGGCATAGAAGTAAACTTTTGGAAAAAATTCGCAATGATCTTTATTAGAAGTATTTGGACACTTATCAATCGTTATTTCTGGAGTTCTATCTGGGTTGCACATAGCACAATAAACGTTTTTATATAAACCCCCTCCGAATTGATCAGGCGCTATCCAGTTATGTGCGCTAGTGTAAGGAAGATCCTCACATGCCCAACGTACATCTAAGTCTGTCATTGGCCAGTGTCCCGATTTGTTGCATTTCTCTATAAGAGGAGGCGTGATCTCGTCACATTTTCGACTGTTCGTGGCTGGATAAAACGTCAAATTGCAATCGGCGTCCCGTAAAGATTTGAAAAAATTACTATAAAGCAAGAAGTTTGTGTGTTCAATATATGAAAAACAATGTGATTTTATTTTCCAGGGTTTGTAATTTTTTTCTTTTAGAGAAACACTACACATTAAACAGTACATGTTTAGATATGGAATGCCTGTCTATAAATCGGTGACTGGGTGAATAGAAAATGCGTCCCCAAGTTGTTTCCTACACCCTTGATCTATAAACTCCGGATAACGACCCAGACCATAACAACCATTAGTCACTAAACTTTCTTCAATTATTTTATTAGGTTCCGATCTTGAAAATATTTTTTCTTTTAAGCAGGTTCTAGGATACATCAGAAACAAGTCTATACAGCATTCAGTACTTCCAGTTATGAACATGCATCATGCATCACATGAGCAGTAATTGTTGTTATAATAAAAGCCGGAATTCTTCTTTGTTGGAATTTTGTATTCCCCACACGTTTTCGATACAAGATCCATTGAAAACGTCTTATATACAAGATTTGTTAGATCACTATAATTGTGCTTCATCAAAACTAGATTACCTGATTGATTTATCATTTTTATTTCTCCGAACTGTTCAAAAACCTTTTGTCTAATTAAAAGGAAATATTGCTGTGAAAATTCCTGCACACTGATATCAAAGAAAAATATAGGTACGGAAGACCCCTTCCGAAATAAAAGCTCAGCATTCATTTCTAAGCTTACATCGAAAAATGGAAACTTTGACGAATTTGGTCGATTGCACAAATAGCAAAATATGTTCTTATATGGCAAAGTTCCAGAGTTATTTCGATAATATAAGCACGCATTATTCACTGTACGGTTAAACGTATCCCACAGTCCACTTACGTTGCACTGAGATATTGTGTCGACAGTAGTGAATATTGGATTACACATTGTACAAAACATGTTTTTGAACAATGTGTCATTATTAAAGTAATCAGCTTCACATCCATATTCAACACTCTGTACATAATGTTTCCAGGTCCCTGTTTTATTACAAGAATTAAAATATTGCTCGTTTTCTTTGTAACAGTTGTAAGAGATATTTTCATTTGGAGGATATGACTGTAACACACATTCACGCGCACTGGCATTTTTGATGACGTCATCAAAGGTTGAAATAAAATTGATGTCCAGAAATTGATCACAGACTATATCGATAGGCCAAGTAATAAAATTGAAATCATTGTTGCAAATCGCACAAAACCGATTGTAATACGTTCGAGATGTATCGTAACTGGTAACTGGTGGGTGTTTCAGTTTATCGACGTCATTGGTGACATTTTCGCATCTTTTGAAAACATTACTCTCCGTGTTGTGTGGACAAGAGTCAATCATTAAATACGATGTTCTTTGTTTTCTTTCAGGGTAGTTTGATGACGTATTAACGATTGTGACGTTCTTACAGGCCGGTACTGGAGGGGAGAAGAACACATCAGGACAGCAGTCACCTCTGACGTAACACTCCTGATCGCAAAAACATGGAGGACAACGCGGGTATAATGTTGAGTCCTCGACTTCCCACGGAAGCAAGGTTTTGTTTAAGTAACAAAAATGTCCAGTTCCACACAGATTCAATATTTGTTCAAGTAACTTTGGGACTTCTATATCCTCCGTGCTAATGGATTGTCCAAACACCGCACACATAAATATGGTGTAGAAGGTTACCCGCTGCATCACTGATTTATTGCTTTAAGTCGACAACACTCTTTTATGTATTACAAATCCTCATGTATAGAGATTATCATGGATATAATTCATAACAGTTTAATAAAATAAGAGCATCTCATCACGTATTTATGAACAATTACTTTTTGTAATCATGCTGGTTTAGTATTTATGCACACGTCCCAATTCGACATTGCATAATTCGACAATGAACCATTATTTTTTTTTATAACGTTAGTGCGTTCTGAGACTTGTTTGCACACATTGATGCAGTTATGAGGCTATGTTTTTCTAACAATAACGATTTATTGCTTTTATTTAAATTGTATACTCGCATTGTCTTTCATTGCAAATGTGATTTATATTTCAAAGTTACTGTATTTTTCGTTCGGTTTAGTTCCAGTTATAAGAGAAAAGCCCTTGTTCAAAGTAGCATGCTATTTGATTTTCGTTTTTGACGTAGCACTTAAACCCCGGCGTTCAACGTTTGTGACGTCAAACTGAAACGTCATCTTTAACCTTCTATTCCCACTTACGTGTTATGGTTTCTGAATGCAATATATCTCCTTTCACTTTATACGCAAAAAACGTGTAATGTAAATATTATACAATCAATCAATCAAATTGATAATGCAAGGGTACATTCAGCGTTTATAGACCTCTTTTCAACGAAGAGAATTTAATTTTTTTTTTTTTTTGTCATTTTGGTATAATTCCAATCTTGACTTTATTTATTGATTTCCTGTGTTTTGATTGGACGAATGCAACTTTAAGAAAAAAATTACACATCGATAAATTTTTCGATCAGAACCACTTTCTTAATCAAACCTCTAGGCTATCGTAAAAAAATGAAAACAGTTACTTCTAGTCTGTTTTAGCTAAATTATAAGAAACGTGAAATTAAATAAAACAAAACTGTCGACAAACAGGACTGAAAGACGATAATATTATGTTTTTGTCACTGTCGGATCATGAGTGCGAATTTAAAAATAGCTCGACGTTCGATCTAATACGAAGCAAATGAGCTCAGTTGATATCGTTGTACGTGATAGGGAAAAGAAACGTACCTCAAACTCTTGCCTTATGAGCATCAAATTCATATTTTTACATACTAAGCCTCTATTCTTCCTCAGTCTTTGAGCAAACCAGAGCAAATCGAGAGCGTCATCGGTCTGCAACTTTCGCTCTGAGAGTTGTCGTTAAGGTCAACATGGCCATGGTCAAGGATGGTTTATTCTGGAGTATACTCTTATTTACGATATTTGTTGACTTAAATAAGATTCGATGAGTTATAATAAGTTTATTTATTGATTGTTCTGTCAATTTAAGTTGAATTTTTATCGATATTCAACTCGATTACGTTTCTTTACGGCATAAGTATTCCTACGCAGTACAAAAATTGCGGATTGTATGGAGGCCTCAAAGTGAAGTTATTGGAATTATAAGAATTAAACGTTCTTTTTCCAGAATTTATCGATGTGTAAACTCATGCTTTCGCACTTTTATTCAGTTTGTGAGTAAAAAGGTAAGAGTTTACACATCGATAAATTCTGAAAAAAGAACGTTTAATCCTATAATGTTTTTGATTTCTGTATTAATATGTTTGTTTGTTTGTTATTTCAGCGCTTTCATCGTATTTAAAGTGTATATTCATACATTAACATATCACTATGATTTATTTATGACATGAAACATATGGAGATAGCGAACAGTAACGAACAGTATCAACCATAGAACTTGCAAAATGATAACATTAAACAAGACTGCTGATATTCATGTTTCATCAACTTGTTTGTCAATAATTTTCCTAGTTTTAGAAATTGTTCAAACATAGAGCATACTCTTGCTTATCGAATCAACTGAGATATATAAACTCCGTATGCCGGTGAGGAAGGTATATTACTGCATACGTAAGGGATGTTGACGATAGAAAAATTAAAGTTATCACGTTTATCATAGAGTTTGGTTGTTTGAGTATCATTTATGTCTTTTCAAGAAATTTATTCAAGTATGAAACAGATGTGTCAGACTCTGCCTGTAAAAATTACGTGCAGCTTTTTTTCAAATCAAAAATTAACTGTAATATTTTTTAAATAGTGCCAATGCAAATTATGGGTACATGATTTTACTTTAAATAATAATATCGGCCTAAATGTAGATATTTTCTTTCTCTCATGAACCTTACTTTTTTTCCTTTTTTATCTTTCCCTGTTTATTTTCTAACTACATTTGTGTAAATATACAATCCCTGAAAATATTAGTTTATTATAATAGTCTCTACTTATTAAAATATTGTAATTTTTTTTGCATTTTTAATAGTTTCAACTCCTCTCTGCAGGAGGTAGACAAAACAGGGAACCTGCAAATATATGTACCAGGTTGGGTCTGATCGGTACTGTATCTAAATGACGAGTTGAAGGCCACAGGAAGTGTTTTTCTTCTTTTTACACATAAGATGAACACTAAAAAGGTTTGCTGATAACGGGGCGCAGTTGGCACCCATGTGGATTATAATAGATTGTTGGTCCCTAAAATCCACATAGATATTGTCAATCAAAACTCAAGCATATTTTTGATGTCAACTTAAGAGAATTTGTGTGTGCAATCAGAATTTGTTTTAACAAAATAATCTTGCAAATGACTAATGACCAGGTAGTGAATTTCCGAGTTCCGCTTTTATCGAAAAAGCAGCTGTCAATGATATCAAAAAGTCTGGACTTTAATTCATCGTGGGAATGGTTGTGTAAAAAGTTGAAAAGTCATATGTTTTTAAGATCTTGATTTTTGTTAAACCTTATAAATTAAAATTTTCTCTAAAACGTCAGTGGAATTTTTGATTATCCACATTTGATTAACACCACTTCTTGTGGTTGCACAGTACTCTTGAGGTTTCTCCTTCACTCCTGTTAATATCTTAGTAAGGTGTAAAAGATGAGGATTGGTTAAACATCTACTGGAACCTGCTATGTATCTTTGTTTGTAAGGATTCTTATAAAGTTTCGAAATCCAATACTCACTCACTCGGTCGTCTTTATACTACCAACGACATGACCACCCCAGTTCTTCCAATCGGCCTTTAGGGAATTAAGCTAGTTCATTTGCACCCCTGTCTCTGTTTTTCGCTTAAGTGTGTCTAAAAATGTGGCCTTGGGTCTTCATCCTCCGCAGCGTCCGTAATTTGGGTCCAAAAGTACCAGTGATTGTGCGCTGAGCTCTGGATGACGGAAGCAATTCCAAGCTTGTTGCATTCTCTGTATATGTTCCATCTAGTGACTTCTCCTGGGCTACTGTTAAAGTCCAGATCTCACAGCCATACAGCAAAATAGACTCAACTGTGGCTATGAAGAAGCGCAACTTGAGATCTCTTGGCATTGTTGAGCGCCATATTCTGTTCTCTTGTTCAGAGTCTGCCAGGCTAGTGCTTTACAAACAGCTATGTCCTTTTCTGAGCTTTCAACACAGGAGCCAAAATATTTAAAATCCTCGACCCATTAGATTTCAGTGCAATCTAAGGTTTTTAGTGGAGTAGGGTTGTCAGTATTGAAGGGGAAAGCTTTTGACTTCTTGGCGTTGATACGTAGTCCATCCTTCTTACACTCAAGCTCTTCTATAGATTATAGTTTCTGGGTTTAGACGATTTCTTCTGCTTATAAGGAAATGTCATCGGCAAAATCAAGATCAGTAAGAACTTGTTTTGGATGCCTGCGGGATTTTCTAGGCAATATGGTGAAATTCAATACCTCTTAATTACAGAGATGGCTTTTCTTGCACAGTCCAGTACTATGATAAATAAGAATGGTGCTAAGGTATCTCCCAAAACTGACATATGAAGAATTTCTTTCTTAGAAAGGAAACTATGAATATAAGTTGGATTACCACTCGTAGAATTCTTCTAAAAAATAACCTAATAAATGTGCTGTTTGTTCAAATAATAAAAATGCTTACTTTGGAGATTAGTAAAGGATTTAATGTCGCAGCAGTTGCAGAAAAAATATAACTTGCGTAAGTGGGTTATGTAATCATTTTTTTTCTGCAATGGCTTCAAAGTTAATTCCTGTACTAGCAACCACAACATTTTATTGTTTACATCTGTATGGAAAAAAAAAACCTCAAAGTAACATTAAATATTTAAGTAGTGAATTATAAATATATATATATATACCATTATATGCATAACTGAAGGAACAACCATTTTAGAATCGTTTATGCTATGAATAATGGCAATTGTCTTCATAAGAAATAAAAGGAAAAATATTCAGTGGATGTAAATTTATTTTTTGAGAAAATTCAACACCACCTAAAGTTAATGATTATTTATTTGTATGTAGTGAGGGACTCCAATGGTCTTTTGTTTTTTTTTGTTTTTTCAAACAGACAAATATTTAGACATGTACCTAAGAGGACATACATGTATATAACTGTCTAACATTGTATCCTTGCCTAGTAAATCACTTACCATGTTGAGCAGACTTAATACTAGTATACAAGAGTATTATACTAGTACTGTAACATGAAGCGGTCACCCATCCAAGGGTAAACAGGTTTGCTGTTGCTTAACTTGCCTGAAATTGAGGGAGACTCTACCGCATCACCAGAAAAGCTAGCTCACTACCGAGGCAGTAGAAGTTCCCTATATATTGTCAGCTGCAGTACCTTGGTCATGTTTAGTTTTGGTGTCTGCAATTTCTGGATGTTAAAGCAAAGTATATTAAATACAAACTATGCATCTTAAATAGAACAAAAAAGAGATAAATTAATATAAATGAAGCATTAGAAAATTTAAATTCATAATTATGTAATAACATGTACCTAATGTGGGTACAACTTGCACAATATTTGATTATCATGTGGTTTAAATAGGTACAAAATAATCATGAGGCCAAAATATTCCATTTTAAATTTGAATGTACAGCGTTGTTATAATTTTTAAGTTTCTAATAAACCTGCGCCTCTGATATGAATTTATAATACTGTAATATTTTACATTATCCTCATGTATCATATATTTAGAGGGTTTTGAGTGAATTGTCGAATCTGAACATGTGTCATATCCTGAATTATTTTTTTAACTAATCTGAAAACTGATGACAGCAACATACATTGTATGATCATGACCTACCGTCTGATGAATATGAACAGCATGAACATGAAAAAATAAAACGTACGGCACTGTGCGATTTTAAAATGGTCGCCATATTTGTTCCTACAGGCAACTAAAGAAGTAATGAAACTTTTGAAATGATTGTACAACAACTTTCTATTTGTGGACAATGGGTCTGAAGTAAAATTTGTACTTTAAAACCTAGATCATTCTCATAAATTCCTTGGTATTTTAGCTTTGTGGTGTCTCTTTTGGTGCCAGGTCCCTGAAATACCAAGTGTATGTGAAACTGCGTCTGCTAGACTGCTATACTATTAAAAACACCTGCTATATGATTAGCTTTAAATAAAAAACCATTCTAACTCATAATTTTTACACAATCTTAATAAATCCATATAGTCCTTTTTAATTTGGAAGTTTGACAATAACACTTACCACTGCAATGTTATCAATGAGTATTAAAATGTGATATACCATTGTAAGAATTTTAACCACATCTCCAAAGTCACTTTTCATGCCTTTTGAATTCTAATGAAGGGATAAGGTTTGGAGGAACCACTTATTGCATCACAAATTCTCTACTGTCATGCTTTATCCAATATAATTGCCTTACTACAGAAATTAAACTATTTACAAAGAGTTCCTAAGACCAATTATTATGTTAAAAATATGATAAAGGATATGTTGCAGAAAAATGTTACCATTTTGAGAGTTAAAGTCCAAATTGCCGAGAACCCAAACACATTAAGATCACCAGTATGTATAGATATTCATTAATCTACAATCACTTATCAATATAACTTTTGCTGAAAAAGCCCCTTTTCTTTCAGAGAAATACCGGTAATGTCTATCAAATGACAACAAATTTACAGTGCACAGCTCTAGATCGATGAATTTGAAATCTTTTATGCTATTTGATTCACGGTAGGAGAAATCAGCAATCACCTTCGTATCTGCATGGATTTTGAAATTATACCAACTAGTAACATGTGAAGATTTAATGGCCCCCAAGTACTTTAGTTTAAAACCCTTAAACATATATCCCTCCTTTATAAATTGGGCTCTACCTTGATCTAGGTACAGTAATCCTTTAAATAGTTTGATACGTGTTGTGAGGAACATGATAATATGGGGAGCCCATTGTTATGTTCCCCAAACGAAGTTGGGGAACATATTGTTTTTACTCTGTTTCTTATTATTATGTTCCCCAAACGAAGTTGGGGAACATATTGTTTTTACTCTGTTTCTTATTATTATTATTATTTTTCTTCTTCTTCTTCTTCTTCCTGGGTACTTTTTTGTCCGGGAATGATCTTGTAAACTGTTCGTCCGAGGTAGGTAAAACCTTTTTATGGTAAGTAGACATGTTATGCAGATTTGCGGAATCAAGGTCATTTTGCGCGCACGTGCTTGCAAGAGCGCGCACGTGCAACACTTGAAATAACCAATATAATAGATATAGTTGGAACTTTTCTATTTTTTGATAAAATGCTTTGAAACTCATAATGTAAACAAGATGGCATGTCAAAATAGCAAAAGGACGTGCGCTTTGCTCTGATTTTTTCAATATGTATACTCTTTTGAAATTTTGAACATGAAAAGCATGATGTATTAAAATTTTAATAAAAGCATGCGCATGCGCACGAGCTGTAATCTGATTGGCTAAAACTTTAAATGGCTATACGTTTGTTTTTTGACGAAATGCTTTGAAATTTAAAACATAGTCATGCATTACGATATCCTAAAATATGATATAGAAAATATTCATGAAATCACGCGCATGCACGTGTGCTGCAATCTGATTGGCTGAAACTTCAAATGGCTATAAATCTCTTGTTTTTCAACCAAACAGGATGAGATTTAGAACTTGGATAAATATAAGGGACTCCTACAAGAAGGTGTAGTCATTATGCACGTGCTTGCATGTGCGTGCACGTGAAATGAGTAAAATAAAAAATACACTCGAATGAGTGCATTTTTTAATACTTTTGGATTAAATGCATAGTGTAGACAAGATAATATGGTCGTTACGCACATGAACACGCGTGCAATGCCTATTTTTTTAATATATTTTGTATTTTTCTTGGAAGACCTTGATTAAGTCTAAATTCCATGAAGTATTTCTTATTTAATAGAGATAACAGGGAATATGGCACCAAAAGGGAGTTGGTGAGCGTTTGGGGAACATCTGTAACGGTCCCCGTTACAATTAGCACTAGTTATTATTATTTTTCTTCTTCTTCTTTCTGGGTCCTTTTTTGTCCGGGAATGATCTTGTAAACTGTTCGTCCGAGGTAGGTAAAACCTTTTTAGGGTAAGTAGACATGTTATGCAGATTTGCGGAATCAAGGTCATTTTGCGCGCACGTGCTTGCAAGAGCGCGCACGTGCAACACTTGAAATAACCAATATAATAGATATAGTCGGAACTTTTCTATTTTTTGATAAAATGCTTTGAAACTCATAATGTAAGGATACATTAGTAGTATAGACAAGATGGCATGGTCAAAATAGCAAGATCTCACGCGCATGCACGTGGCTGAAACTAAAGTCTCAATATCTTTCTTGTTTCTTGTCATAATCTTTTGAAATTTTGAACATGGTCCTACATTATGAAGATCAACAGCATGATATATTAAAATTTTAATAAAAGCATGCGCATGCGCGCGTCCTGTAATCTGATTGGCTTAAACTTTAAAATGGCTATATCTCGTTTGTTTTTTGACGAAATGCTTTGAAATTTAAAACATAGTCATGCATTACGATATCCTAACATATGATAAAGAAAATATTCATGAAATCACGCGCATGCACGTGTGCTGCAATCTTATTGGCTGAAACTTCAAATGGCTATAACTCTCTTGTTTTTCAACCAAACAGGATGGGATTTAGAACTTGGATAAATATGAGGGACTCCTACAAGAAGGTGTAGTCATTATGCACATGCTTGCACGTGCGTGCACGTGAAATGAGTAAAATAAAAAATACACTCGAATGAGTGCATTTTTAATACTTTTGGATTAAATGCTTTGATATTATTAAGATTTTAGATAGTGTAGACAAGATAATATGGTCGTTACGCACATGAACACGCGTGCAATGCCTATTTTTTTAATATAGTTTGTATTTTTTTGGAAGACCTTGATTAAGTCTAAATTCCATAAAGTATTTCTTATTTAATAGAGATAACAGGGAATATGGCACCAAAAAGTTGGGGAACATCTGTAACGGTCCCCGTTACAATTAGCACTAGTTACATTTACGATACCCACATGTCTGCCTGCTACAGGCACAATGTTCAAAGGACTTTTTTTATTAATC